ATATGTAGGAAAGGGATCCTCTTCAAATAATTTCCACTTAATCCTCTTCATCAAACAGTTCAGAACCTTGAAATTTGATTCAACGGCTAAAATTATTATGACTTTTAAAATGGGCCCCTATTTTTAGCCGTTAGATCAAATTTCAAAAGTCCAGATTGTTTGATGAGGATGATTAATAGGAAAGGATCCAATGAGAATCTCTTTCCGAATATATAAAGGGAACTTTAACGAAAAGCTCTCGATGTTATTCACTTTAACGAAAAACCACATTTTTACACTAAAAAGTCAATCATGATACTATTCACTTTCCCTTTTATTTTATCTTTAACGTTAAAACTCAAAGTTTTCAAACTATTTTTATTAATTTTCGTATATATAAACTTATGTTTCAACACTTTTTAGTGTTGTCAAATCATCAGCCACTGCCCAAACCCGTGGAAAATAACTTCCATTGTAGGTAGAACCTCCCTTCTTATTTGGTAACAATTCTTGTAAAATATATATTATTTGTAGATACATACATTTTGAATAATGTTTTTCATCAAATAAGATTGAAATGTTATATATTGTCAAACTGTGAATATGAATTGTAAATTTCCTTGACTCATATCTAAAATTATGTTGAACAATTGATAATTAATCAGACAACTTTAAATAACATGCAAAACTGTAAAACAAGAAATTGTTCCAGATATTATTGTGATTGTGGTTGTGATGATTTTGAATTTAGTTTGAAAGAGGTGAAGATCGTTTAGTGGTAGTGAGGACTATAGCAGTCAAACTATTACGATTGAAGAGTAGTACAGATAGAAAACTAAGAACAGAGACGGAACTGACTCTGCATTGGGAATATATTCAGCTCATCACGAACATGATATTGAGCACTATCACCTTTAGAATTATGCAACTTTAAATTTGTGTTTATTCCCAAAACTAATCAAAGAAATAGAGTCTTTTTCCTTTGAACCTTCCAGGCATAATCTGCATACATTAATTCTAAAATTCATTATTATCTCTTTTTATATATGATGTTCATATTACATAATTTGATCGCGACACATGTAAAGCTACACATGCGTCAAGCTGCTGGTTGCTTGGTAGCTCGGTATGCCCACAGAGGGAACCTAATGTTTGCACCTGAGAGAACCCATATATACTAACTTCAATTGAAAATTTGGAATGAATGTCTTGAAGATTTAGCACTGAAGAGGATAGATTTCAGGAGTAGTACTATATTATATAAAAATATGGAATCAACATGGCATTGACGTCCTTTAATTAATTAACTAGCAACAGATAGAGAGATGCTTAATCAGGATGCTTAACTTGGTCATAAAGTGGCACATAGAAATATATACATACATTTATATATAATTATACATAATAAATATACATATATATATATATATATATATATATCTGCATGTCATAATAATGATTATTTTTTTCCCAAGTTATAACCATCATCAAGCTGGGCATCTAAAATGTTTGGAAAATTTTATTTAAACTCATCTAATCTCTTTCTACATCCAACTTAAATTTTAAATGTTAATTGTTTATTTTACCCTATTGCATAATTACTATTAAGTACAAGTGAAATTAATAATAAAAATCAAATTTATCAATAGACCCACATACTATAATTAAACCCTAGCATCACCTTTTGTCTATCCTACGTTCATTCCAACTAAAACCCTAATAGCTCTGATAGAGAAAAACAAGCTTTTTGTATTGATGGATGGTGATTTTGAAGTTTTTAATCCTCCAACTAAGACATGACTCGATTTATGGATATTTTGTTTGTTTGCTTCTTCTTTGGATTAAATTTCATACTTTTTATATTATATTGTATTTGTTTTTCTCTGTTATATGTATGCGCCCCAAAACATCAGTGCAAGGACTTTTAATTAGTACTACAAAGACATAAAACTGGATTCTTGGTGCAAATAAAGATTGCTCAACCTTAACCACGAACTAGCGGGTGGCATGTCTTGCACATTTTTTATTCGAAATAGCTTCAATTTGTTTATTTGTTTATTAACATAGTAGCAAAACACCCAGCCCTATGTCACTTCAAAGTTTCTTAAAAAGTACATGAAAATGCTCAATATAAAAAGGACTGAACTGGAGAGTGCATAACATTCTCTTGGAAAATTCAAGTCTATGGAATGATCTCTTGGATCCCAAGTCCATGGATGGGTTGTGGTAGAAAAAAAGTAGCCATGAAAATGCTAGCTAGTCCTATATAGCATATGCAATTATAGAGGGGCAAATGACGCCTCTTTGAAAGAAAAAAAAAACAATTAGAGATGTTATTTTATAAACGGAATAAGTGTAAAGATAATTTTACATTTTGAATTGGGTTTGAGAGAGTAGTTTAGGTAATAAATTTGGGTTTAAAGAGATATTAATTCTTTAATAAAAAACAATATAGGTGAAGATAGTAAGTTAGGTGTAGAAAGATGTTAAATGTGTTCAAATAAAATTTCCCAAAATGTTTCTTTACAGAAAAGGATGAACATTTTATTACCAATGAAAGCACCTGAGAACCCTAATTTTCAAGTTCAGAATGACAGCGTATAACCAAAAATGTGAATGAAAACTCAAAAAGAAATGATACAGCATCTAATAAGTACTGGTTTGGTATTAAGGTGCTTTTATAAACAGTGGATATCAAAAAAAGCTAAGCTCAAAAAGGGATTTGGTAAACACTTAAAAACAACTTATTTTCACAATTTTGGGTGAAAAAAAAACTGAAAACAAAAAGCAACAAAAATGAGTTTATTCTCACAACACAGCATAAGCAGTTTTTTTCTTCAAAACACAACAATACCAAACCAGCTTTAAGAATAGTTGCAAAATGAGAGATACAAAGACAGAATCTCTTATCAAATAATAAGCCACAGCACTCCATTTGGGTGCTTTTTCCTGCTCAAGAAATCTATCATTTGTGCAAGGGAACTTTAACGAAAAGCACCCGGTACTATTCACTTTAACGAAAAACCACATTTTTACACTAAAAAGTCAATCCTAGTACTATTCACTTTACCCTTTGTTTTGTCCTTATCATTAAAACTCAAAGTTTTCAAGTCTTTTTCATTAGTTTTCCTTTTGTGCAATTAGCTACCTAGGCTAAGCTAGTTGATTATATATCATTCTCCCATATCCTTTTCTTACTGTGATCAAATGTACACGAGAGAGTGGGGAGAGCAGAACAGGAAAGAATTCTTATTAAAATTGATCATAAACCACAATAATGATTCCAAAGACTCCCTTTTTGACCATCACAATATGACAAGAATTTGTATTTTAAACTAAATATTTCCTATCATTACATTCCTGTACTGATTAAGAAATAGGTTGATAAGTTTCCGCACTAGTTTGAAAATCCAACTTCTAAGCATTACCATTTTTTTATTTATCAAATCATCTATCAGCATATATGTTACTGTTAACTTATTATTTGTTATTATTTGATACATATAAAAATAGTTTGTTTTTTACCGAAGTGAAATTACATTCATAATTTAATCGCGAAAAGCCAACACAACTTTCTTAAGTTTCAACAATCACATTCACAAGAGACTATATACAGATATATGCAGCAACCATCAAGCTCGGCTGAGCCGAATGCATCAAACAGAAAGTAATTTTAAATTACACCCTCAAATGGAATAAAATAGGCTTTGACTAAAAGAGGTACACATTTGAAATTTTGAATAAAGTGCTTTTGATGAACAAAGCTTCGTAAATAAATTCGATCAATGTAGCACTACTGTTTGAAAGATATTAGAGAAGAATCAACTTTGCAGAGGTAGAAGAGAAGATGTTGAGAAAAAAATGAGTGATGATCGAAAAGATGATCATTTAGCTGTCCAATTGGTGGTCCAAGAAAAGAGTCCTTGCTGGTACATAGAAAATTCCATGTTCCAAACAACTTTACTGGTTAATTTTCCTGCAATTGATTGAACAGAAAATCATATAATACCAAGTATGTGCACGAATGGTATATGTTTATTAAGTGGACCGACTTTATTCATAAACTATTGTCCAAATGGTAGACAAGAAACAGCCCTATGTCAGTTAAGGCTGGAAAAAATTCCCGAAAATTCCGAATCAAATAAAAAAAAATTCCGATCTCAAACCAAAATTTTTGAAGTTTTCGGGTTGAAATTCGGAACCAATCTTGAAATTTCAGAGGGATTCGGTATTGTGTACTCAATCTTTTGGTAATCCCATACCAAACTGAAAATAAATAATATATATATTATTATACATTTGAATTGTTGCTAACTACTAGTAGCAATATAATTGGTGTTGTCTAAAGTAACCATATCCTTTATCACCACATTTGCCGGTACGAACCTCCCACAAATGTGTCTATTTCTTCAACACAAAATCAAAAAATTGTATTGTTAGTTTTCGAACATATTAGGTTTGTGACTTTTTTTTTACTTTTGGGTTTGTTACTTATTTTATTTTGGTTGCATGTTAATTTAACTTGATATGAATGATTGCTATTTCAATTTGTATGAAATTTGGAAATATCAAACTATCCCGAAATATTGAAAATATTTTCAATATTTCGAGAATTCTGAAAATTGAGAATACTGAAATTTTTGTTTGGGATTAACCTTCAAATTTTCATCCTAAAAATTTTCAATTTGGGATTCAATATCCCATTTTTGATTTGAAATTCTATACCGAACCATCCCTAATGTTAGTGGTGATGGAACTTTTGGTTCAAAAGAAGCCAAAGGAGAAAAGAAAAATAAGGCTTTTCTGTAGCTTGGGAAATTGATGTGATTCTTAATATTTTAATCTAAAAGTTTGGCCGACAACAAAGAGGGAAAGTGTTGCGATTCTTAAGTAAATGAATTCTTTTTTATGGAGAACCCTTTTAATTTTAACAAACAATGGGGGCAAACGTGCAAAATCCAGTCCTATTTATAGCATAGCAGAGAAGTGGACTGGTCTCTTCCTGTGATGTTTGAAATCATCCTTCAAAAGTTTTAGACAGAGAGAGAGAGGTGTGAGAGAGACGAGAAATGGCTTTTGCTTGTCTCTTCGCTCGGTAACTCCCAAAAGGCTTTTAATAAAACCATCCCAAATTTGTCAGTACATATTGGCCGTTTCACGACCAAATTACGCAAAAAGCAAAGGCAAAGCAAAACGTAACTGCTTTTGCTTCTTCCTACTTCGTAACTTTCCCGGTCAGTTTTCAACTTTTTCATTTTCTTTTGGGGTCTCCAATAATGTCCTCCTCCGAAATGGCGGACCAGCAGTTCTTCTCCGAGCCATTCTCTCCCCTCTCGGACATTGACCTCCTCCAACTCCAAGCAATCTCCGACCAGCAAAGCCATCAAAACGCAACAGACACCACCTCAGAAATGGCGGACCTACAGTTCTTCTCCGAGCCATTCTCTCCCTTCTCGGACATTGACCTCCTCCAACTCCAAGCAATCTCCGACCAGCAAAGCCATCAAAACGCAACTGACCATAACTCTCCGTCTCTCCTCTCTTCTTCTCCCCCAAGTTACCAGCTCGAAACTCTAAGCCTTTACCGGCAAACCCAGTTGCACCAAACGGAACAAAATTGTCCAAATTTGCCAATTGGGTGGCCGAATTTATCTCTTTTTGATGCTCAGGAGGTTAAAACTGAAGAATTTCATCAAGTTCTTGAGCCTCATAGCTATGGCGGGGCGGAGAATGTCGCAAGGTTTATTCAGAGGAGCTACAGCAGCAAATGCTTTGATGGAAATAATAACAAGCCTAGATTTTACTTCCAGCCGAGCTTTGATTCTCTCATGGAGTCCCCAAGTTTTCAGGACCAAGCTTTGAGCTTGAGCTCTCCGGAAAGCCGCCTTTTGCCTGGTCAAATGAGAAGGGTATCCAGCACTGGTGATTTGCAAGTCAGATTACTCTCCAGAATTTTAATTAATTTGCTCTGCGTTTGTTTTGATTTAATCCATGTTTAATTAAAATCAAAACCCATGTCTTATTTTTTTTGTTTTCTCCATTTATTTTGGTAGAATTTGCGAACAAATCGTGCTCCCAGAGAGAGCTCAGTGATGGAAGAAGCAGCTGCAAACTTCAAAACGGGGAGGTACAGTGCAGAAGAGAGGAAAGAGAGAATCTCAAAGTACAGAGCCAAAAGGTCACAGAGAAACTTCAACAAAACAATTAAGGTAATTAAACATATAATTATTACATAAATCCACTAATTTTTAGGTGTTAAATTAGATTATTATTGTGTTTAAATCTTAATGCGGGTTGTTTGTTACTCTATCTATATGAAAAGTATGCATGTCGAAAAACACTAGCAGACAAACGACCCCGCATACGTGGCAGATTTGCACGTAACGACGAGACCGGTGAGATTCTCAAAGCTGCATGTTCAAGTACCAGAGAAGAAGACGGAGATGAGCTCTGGGTAAAAATACTTTCTGTTCACATTTCAGTATTTGTTAAATTTCCTCTGTTAAACGTGTACCAACAAGTTTGAACAACTAAAGCTTTTTTTTTCCTCTAGCCATTAGACAACGGCATTGTACTATCTATGTTGTTAGACTGAGAATTCAAACGCATTTAGTTCAAATTTATAGAATTTAGCAATTTATCTGACAACGCAAGTCTAGCAATATAATATTATCTTGTGTATACTTGTTAAGCGATATTATGACAACGGGTTAAAAGTTTGACCATATAAACTATTAAGGTAATTAATCACAAACTTACATAGTAACATAATATTGATCAATTACCTTAAAATATAATTTGTGAGACTATGAATCTGTACACAATGGTCATGTTACTCTTGCATGAAGGTGTGATTTACGTTTATTGTTCACAGTTTGATAACTATAAGTCTAATAAGAAAATATTACTCTGTATATACAATTTCGTTACTTTTTTGTTTGATAAATTTTACAATTTCTATTATTGCAATAACGTAGAGTTAATGAGGTTAATTTTGTGCAGGTTGAAGGGTTCAATGTAGAAGAGGAAGAGATGAATGCAACAGTAAGAGGAGGAGGAGGAGGAGGACAGTTTATGAGCAATTTTGGAGCTACCCAGCTTCAGTACTATGGATGTTGAGTTTTGATAAGTTGAGCAAAAGGTATTTTACTTTTTTTGGGGGCCGGGGTTTTCTAGAATATTTAGGTTTAGACCACAACATGGCTAAAAAGTCTTTTTGTATAAAAGCAAAAGAAGAATCAAAGAGTTTTTCACCAAAAAAAAAAAAAAAAAAAAAAAAAGAAAGAATCAAAGAGTTTCTTTTGCTTTTCCTTTTTCTATTTAGTGAAATAAAACACCTTTTGTTAAGCTCAATGCTGCAGTTGGGTAGTTGTATTGTAGGTGGTAGAATATTTAGGTTCGAATCATTTATAACTCCTCTGTATATGTGTGGTAATGCATAATATAATCTAATATTTTATGTCAACGTCAATGTCAATGTCAATGTTATGGTAGTTTCAATTTCACATGCCTGTATATCTTCCTTGTAATTCTTATCATCAAAACAAAGTGGGTGTATATTGGGTTACTTTTAGCTGCGCTTTTGGAACTTAATTTTTATCTTATTTTGTCCCTGGTAAGAAAACTCATCACTCTACTCTTTAAAATTTAAAATTTTTTTCCCTTGAACTTATGAATTCTTCTTGAAACTTATATGTTGTCTCCTAAAACATATATGTTACATGTGCAATAAATTTGATTATAAATCTTGTTTATGTGTTAATATTCAACAATTAGAAAATATTAAATTAAAAAAAATTGAAGAGATGAAAAAAAATAAAAAAGCATTGATTAGTCTGATGCACCCAAGTTGAACCCACATAAGAGATTAACATATATAAGGTAATGTGAAGCAAATTTTGAGTTTTACAAAGACGATTTTCAAGTTTCAGGGGGCAAAATGGGATCAAATTAGAGTTCAGAGGGGAAAGTGTAGCAAACTTTGAGTTCTATGGAGTAAAGTGACAACCTTTAAGTTACAGGGAGTAAGTGAAATTAAAATCGAATTCCAAGGGGCATAGCTAAAAATAAGCCATTTATTTGTTCACTACTTTTAAGTGATGATGAGAATCACTATAGTGTTGATTATTGTCATATGAGTATGATTTAATTTTTCTACGGCAAAAGATTAATATAGGGAGAATGATAGCTACCTTCTTCACTTTCCTTCCCCACTTTCCTTCTCCCTAAATTTATGTATTAATTATGTTTGAAACTTTTTTCTTCTCTTTCCACTAATGCCCTAAATTAATTCCACATGTCAACCAAATTATCAAATTATCCACTAAAATTTGACAAATCTAATTAATTTAACTATGGATTGAGTACCTCAAAATTCTCAAAATTCTAATATTATTCCAAATTGGTCTTAATCTTTCTAAACAATCCCAATGAGTACCCAACTTATTGAAAATATCACATCTATTAAGCCTCAGTTAATTTTTCTGCTAAATTAACTAGGATTTACTTTGTCTAAAAAATAAGTAGAAGGTCATGGAGGCATGGCCTTTACCCACTAAAGGTCACCACCACCCCATTAAGGCATCACCTCAAAACAAATGTACAACCACTAACTTCATCCTATAACTCAAGCCGCCAACTTCGAGAATAAGGTCATGAAGGTTGTTGAAATGGTATGAACTTCCATGATGTGGCCACGTGCCACCACCATCTTCACCGTCCACAAAGAAGAACTGCAAGCTTCACGAGCTGAAAATCGGTGAATGAGGAAATTGCATTAGCAGAAACAGGCTCCTTGAAAACCTATCTGAATTCTTAACCCCTTCTTTGTAGGAGATTGCCCTCCTAATGTAAATCAATGTGGATCCATTTTCAATTCAATTCAATACCCTTTTGATCATAGGTTTCCATATTATATAATCTATGTTTGAATTTTAGATTCAAAGGCAACTAATATTAATGTTGACCATGAAAAACCCAGTTGACCAGTGGGTTTTGAATATAAAGGTTTTTTTTTTTGTTTTTTTGTTGAAATGAATATAAAGGTTGTGTTAGGGTTTCAGTGGTGGTTGTTGAGCTTGGAGGTGTTAGGGGCTTGATTTTTTCTAATCTTCATAGTTGATTTCATTTTCAAGCTATTAATATTTATTATTAGTTTAGTGTCCAAGTAAGCTAAAAAGTGGGACTCATTGTTGCCACATGTACATTTGACGGAAAAATTATATGAGGCATAACGGATGTGACATTTTCAATAAGTTGGGTACTTGTTTGGAATGTTTAAAAATATTGAGCCAATTTGGAATAACACTAAAAAATTGTGAGGTTTTAGATATTTAATCCTTTAATTGTTGATATTATTTTTTTGTACAAGTTTCATTTTTTTTGGAATCTCATTTTTATTTTTGTTCATTAATTTTTTCCTTCAAACATTATATTATTCAACAAGAAACATTTATTCAAACTTAAGACATACACAGGAAACTCATTCTTCTATTGAACTCGACCAACATATCTACTTATTTTTCAAAATCTCGAACTTTGGAAGTCATGACATCCCTTCATCCTTTTCTTTTTTAGAATAACATGTTTATACTCTCAAAACCTCTACTTCAAAAAAAAAAATAAAATAAAAATAAAAAGGATATAAAAAATATTGTTAATTATTAAATTAGAGTTTTTTTTTTTTAATATCAGAAAAGTAGATTTATAAAATTCTAATCGGAATGTTAACGTCCTCCGCCAAAATGTTGAACAGAAATTCGAAGCCAATAAATGAGTCACCTTGTTTAAATATGTATGAAGCCACAGAGTGTGTTGCTCGATTACCATATTGAGGTACAAACAAGAACTACATAAATTTAGGTGTAAAATATGTCCACATGACATCCATTAAGTGGAAAAGGCAAGTGAGGAATGCAGCATTCCTCGTAATCATGTTTTTAAAAGAAATATCAAATGCACGTCTTCATTAAACACAATACAATCGCGAAAGAGTATTAAAACAATAGACTGTATAATGATCAATGTTTTAAAATGACACATCCCGACTCGGAATGTCCACTAGGACTCCGAATCAAGCTGTGCTGGCCGACACCTGGAAGGTGACAAAACCATAAAGTGTGATGGTGTGGAAAATTGTGAATAAATTTAAACCTAAGAGTGCCTAAATACCAGAGTGCACTGATGAGCGGGAATGAACCCACTTCACACGTGATGTAGAGCATAAGCAAGTACAGAAAAATGATATAAAAATCGTACCCTCGAAATAGTCTCCGATACTAAGAATTGTTGCGAGTCTTTGCTGATAATAAAACTCAGCTAATAATACCTGGAGGGTGAAGACAAGACAAGGGTGAGTGGCCATGTAAGTAAATTACTAATAGAAAACATATAAATTGCTATAACCCCTCGCTACAACACCTGTATAATTTCCAGACTTAGAATATAAAATATACATCTTTATATACGTATATTGATTCAAGTCATGCTTCACATATTTATAATCATATGTTAACTTATCGCATATTCATCACGTCTACTAGCCCATCACGTATTCACCACATATATTAGCTCATTACATATATTCATTATATATATTAGCGTGTAAGTCGGAGTCACCTCTAGCGACCTATATGACATATTCATATTTCATCACATATCTCATCAATTATGGCTAGCATATAATAGTCGGAGTCACCTCTAGTGACCTATACGACATATTGATATCTCATCACATATCTCATCAATCATGGCTAGCATACAATAGTCGGAGTCACCTCTAGTGACCTATACGACATATTGATATCTCATCACATATCTCATCAATCACGGCTAACATATAATAGTCGAAGTCACCTCCAGTGACCTATACGACATATTGATATCTTATCACATATCTCATCAATTATGGCTAGCATATAATAATCGAAGTCACCTCTAGTGACCTATACGACATATTGATATCTCATCAGTTATGGCTAGCATATAATAGTCGGAGTCACCTCTAGTGACCTATACGACATATTGATATCTCATCACATATCTCATCAATCACGGCTAGCATATAATAGTCGGTGTCACCTCTAGTGACCTATATGACATATTGATATCTCATCAGTTAACTAATATCGTATACTTACTTGAATTTATCTAACTTACATGAACTTACCTAAACTTACTTGAACTTACCTATGTGTTCTGCGTACCTTTGCACTTCAGAGCGCTCATAGCAACACAATTACATATAATGCATCATATACCAATTCATATACGAATTATAAACTTATATGCATGGCATTCAAGGCATAATCTCATTTAACATATTTCTAGGAAAATATCAAGTATATAAATATATACTGAAAACCAAAAGCCCACAAACATTGCTCAATTCCTTAAACAAGGCTATGGTCTCGATTATTTAATTTCATTTCTTATATGGCTGCATCTAACGTCTCGTTAGACTGCCTACGTACCCTAAACAGGGATCAAGCCATTCATAGTTCACAATAATCATTTATAGTAATACGCATATGGATAGATCACGATGAAATCTAACCCAACCATCTCATAGTATTTTATAACTTACAAATATATATATATATATATATATATATATATATATATATATCATGGCATAAGTTCCTCAGTTTTATTTAAAAGCATTTATAGAATTATCAATCATGAAACATATGATGAGCAAGGAAAGATCCACTCACCTGAAATCCGCACTATAACTTCCTAGCATGAACATCGAGGCAACATAAACGATCGGCGCCTGTGACCAGTTGTCAAACCATATCTCAAAATTCTCGTTGATATAATACATAACTCGCACATAAGTCTACGCAATTTGGTCTAGAAGATTCACAAATCAGATCTCTGATCCGTACTTCCAAGGATCCAAATTATGCTTTTAGAACAACATACTAAAGTTTCAGAACGATCCAACGGTCGGATCTCCGCCAATTGCCAAAACCAAGTGGCGGTTAGAATTTTATTTTACGAACTTACAAATCCAATTCGAGGAGATTCATACTTCGGATTCCCAATCTGTAAGTTCCTATATTCCTCAAATATTATGAATAATAATCTATCAAAGTTTTATGACGATCCAACGGTCGGATCGTCGATTCATATAATGGCCTATTAACATATCTTAGAGAATTTTGGCTCTAACGATCAATCTACGCCATTCACTTCTCAAAACTGAATTCAAGACATCACATATAGCCTAAAAATAGCATTGGCGGCCCTCAGGCCATGCGCCGCCGCACCAGCCGCCCCGACTCGCCGGAAAATTCAACTATTTCTAAAAATTACCAACATTTGCAGATTTGAAGATCTCAACGAGTAGAATAACTTTCATACTTGTGACCAAGGCCAAGTTGGCTTGGAAACACTTCAATTTCACCAAAATCCGTGCGGACCCTAAAATTTGGTGTGCTTCGATTCGACCTCCAAACTTGTTACAACGCCTCCACCACTGCTTGGGTTTTTTTCCTGGGTTCTAGGGAAGTCTAATGGTAGTGGTAATTGAAGGAAAACGTTTCACAAGTGGTGGAT